TGAGAAATAACTGGGATTCAGTTCATTTGTTAGGGGCCCCAGCGAGGCCAAGGAGCAGGAGGCTGTGAACCAGATGAAGCTATAATCAATGGTGCGCGCACCTGAGTGGCCAGTGCGCGCCAGTGTCTGCAGGCACCAGGCCAGGCAGTCCCTGAGGCATCAGCAGGCACACCAGCCCACTGGACAGCCTGGCTCCCAAAGCTACCTGAAAAAGTGGGCACGTGCTCAAAGAAGGCTACCATCAGAACAAGCCCATCCTTTGGGTTCAGTCTCTAGAACTTGGTTAGAGGATGAGGAGGTGGAAATGGCGACACCAAGGCCAGGGCAGGGCTGACGGCGGGAGGTGCCCTGACTGCTGACTGTGCCAAACACACAGTTGGAGGAATGCAGTGAGTTGATGTTTGGTGTTGGATTGAAAGCTTTCTACACAACAGTGCGGGGCCAGGATGAGGCACCGAGAGAGGCCTCTGGCAGTGTCCTCATCTCTCTGGTCCCCTCCTTCTTTCCTTTTTCCCTATTGAGTTCTGCTCAGAAGTTTCCAGGGGGTTGAATTCCTTGATCTAATCCCCATCCCTCTAGCAGGCCCAACCATGATTGGTTGGGAAGATTACTATCAAATAATTAAACAAATAGGTCTATGGAACCAAACAGGCCCACAGAGCCTTGGCTCAAAAACAGGCCCAGAACTGAGTGTATTAAGAGGTCTTTGGTCATTTCCTGTGAAAATGTGGGTTTGAGCCAAGCCTGTGTTCCTTGCCTTTCATGTGTGGCTGTGGCTACACGGGAGGCAGCTTTCGCCACAAACACATACAGCTTCTTTCTCCGCCTGCCCGGGAGGGGACTGTACATCTTAGAAACACATTCACCTATTTTCAGCTATTCTCTAACGTGCTGGGCCATTTTGCCATACACCCACCTCTCCCCAACCCCACCCTCTCATCTCTCCCCTGACACCTCACTGCCACAGCGCCTCCTTCTGGCAAAGGTGGCAGCTCCAGAACTGTCTGCGAGGAAAACATTTCCTGGTGCCTTCATGCTCAGGTGACACCTCAGGGCCTGCTGCCTGCTTCCCCTCAGATCTTGTCTTCCAGACCTCGTGACAACTAGATCTTGACGGGCACCTAACGGACATTTTCTTTTCCTCTCCAGGGGTTTTCACTGATTCCATCTGATCTTTCTTGTAGGATAAAGCCAGTGTGGCCAAAGCCTGAACACAGACGTTTGTAGCAGCATTATTGGTGAAAACCAAAAGCTGCAAACACCCCAATCTCCTTCAGTGCGGGGGGAGAGATAAGCAAACTGTGGAGTATCTACAATGCACACGCCCAGGAGCAGGAAGGAGAGAGCTGTTAGTACAGCCAGTAACGGACAAACCTCTCCCACTGAGAGAAGACAGCCTCAAAGGGATACAGCCCATCCAATTCCATGTAATATTCCTGAAATAACAACACTACCATGATAGAGAATAAATCAGGGTTTGTCAGGGGCATGAACGGGGACCAGGATGTCATTATAACAATAGAGAGGTTTGTGGGGAGATGTGCTCGATCCTCATTATGAAGGCCATCCACAACTATGTATGTGTTAAAACATATACAGCTAAATACCAAAGGGAAAAAGCCAATGTTCTGTATGGTAATTTAAAAACAATAAAATAAAATATAAAAACATGGGCAAATACTAAGCATGAATCCCATCTAGGTTACCTACCCCTTGGCCCTGCTAGAGCAGCACCCCTGCCTGGGCTCCCTGACATCCTCCTTCCCCAACACTCCAGCCAGCCCCACGGTAACACCCCTGTTGCTCAGGCCCTCAGCTGACTCATCCTATTCTATGAGGTGGCCAGTATCTGGCCCACTGAGGGAATTTCAGCTGGATCAGGACAGGACACTACAGTGGAACCTTGGCTCTTGAGCTTAATTTGTTCTGGAAGGCTGTTTGAGAAACAATTTGTTCAGAAATCGAATGATTTTTTTTTCCCATTAGAAAAAATATAAATTGAATTAATCCTTTCCAGACCCCCAAATGATTCCTTTCTTTAACCTTTCTTATATGCAGTGCATGTCTAATATATTTTTAAATCTATAAACAACACTTCTTAAATTTAACAAACCACCCCCTACCAGCCTTAAAGGAACCACATTCAGCACTCGTTCCAGGGGGTGTCTCTCAGGAGGTCAGCAGGCGGCGTCTTCGCTTTTTCACATGTCACTGCCTCCGAAATGCTGCCACTGGCTAACTGCTTTTCCTTTATCCAAATCAACAACATCTTTTCTGCCTCTTCAATTGCCCTTCACACCTTAGCAGCCTTAGCACTCTTAATAGCCTCTTTATGTTTTAAAATTGTGCTAATCATGCACTTGCCAGCAACAAAAGCACCACACACACACACACACACACACACACACACACACACACACACATTCACAGCACAATTTCCTGAGATGTTAACAAGGCAAGGTTTAGCTGTAAACTGACTCATACTGATGCATTCTCTCCTTTGTTTGTGGCCTGAGAGAAGTTAACCCAGACATTTTTTCCGTGAACAACTTGGCTGAGAACCAAATTGTTCAAGATGGGAGACTTTCGAGAACCAAGGTTTGACTGTATATAACTTCAGCTTGCAGGGTAAAAAAATAGTTTCTGAAACCCCTCAATCATTTGACAACATGGGTGGAAGGTGGGGGGAGGATGGAGGGAGGATTAGTCTGGATCTTGGAAACCCCCCATTCATGCCCCTGTTTAACAAAGGGAGACCTCAGTCTCAGAACCATGAGCAGGCTAGAATTTAGTCCCCTTGTTTTGTCATAAAACTGTTAACTTTTTGAATTCTGTGTCATTAGGACATCTTTTACTCTATTGAAACAAAAGTTAGAAACCCACTATAATAATTTCCTAGATTTCAGAGTGTAAATTTTTTCCAGAACCACGTAACATTTCACTGCATTGTTTTGTTTGGGATCTTAGAGAATTTTACTCACTGGGGCAATAAACATGACTAAAACTCAACAACAGAAAACAAACCCAGCGTGGGTGCCAGCTGTCTGCTGACCTTTTTGAGGAAAAGATGACATTTGGAGTAATGTCCTGGGGACCTGCCTGGACTTCCTCTGGGCCAGAACTAACAAAAGATGAGACAGAACTGCCAGAAGAGAAAGCGTAAGCGAGGAATTCCTGGACATTAAATGCCGTCGGATGCCAAGGAGAGTCTGACACGCACTGGGTCCGTGCCGGGGATTGGCAGCAGAATGGCCACACCATGCGAACGCTGCCAGGGCCATCAGAACAGCTGGGCATGGCCGCCACCAATAAAACGGATAGCATTACAGTGGAAAACACTCAGCAAGAGAGAAAATTCCATTTTTGCTGAACTCAGTGTTTTCCAAAACAATGTCAGTGACTGAAGATGACAGGAAATTGATGACCTTAATCTTTAAAACCCAACAGAAAATTGCTTTAAAATTGCATGGTAAAATAAGCTCACAGATTTAAAAATAAAAGCAAAATTATCATCTACCAAAAAGTGGTGCTCATTCCCCACTAGGACTGTCATAGAGGTTGCTGAGCCTCTCCAACAAACGCCTTTCGTTAAAAAGCAATCACTGACTCCGGGAAATGTTTTCCTGTACATTTCTTTTAATCTCAGTAGGTTTAATGTTATTACTTTTTCCGCTGGGTTCTTAATATATTTAGGACAGTATCATTTTCTGTCCTATTTTCTGCTAACAATTTCCTACTCTGTCACTTGCCTTGAGCTTCTATTTGTGGTTTTCATTTTTAATGATAAGACCTTAGAGCAGTGATGGCGAACCTATGACATGCGTGTCAGAGGTGACACGTGAACTCATTTTTTTTATTTTTCTTTGTTAAAGGGCATTTAAATATATAAAATAAATATCAAAAATATAAATCTTTGTTTTACTATGGTTTCAAATATCAAAAACTTTCTATATGTGACACGGCACCAGAGTTAAGTTAGGGTTTTTCAAAATGCTGACACGCCGAGCTCAAAAGGTTCGCCATCACTGCCTTAGAGAGTTGTGTGCACTGAAATATTTAAGTCCTTTCCTTCGGAATTTTTCTTGACTGATGGTATTATTAATGTAACCTTTACCTACCAGAGACCAATTAATCTTTTATGTTGAGGTTTTTTTTTCCTCGTTTTTCTATGGCTTGATGTGTTACAATAAACTCTTGAATTGATCCGGAATTTATTCTGGTAGATGGACGAAGTTTTCGTTTATTTCCATTTAGCAAGACCTCCCCGATCATGAACAAGCTAACCCACCCCCTTTGATGTCAGTCACAGCGTAAGAAGTTCCATGCATTGGGCCATCTCACAGTTCCTCCGCTCCCCTCCCTGCTGAGGGAGGAGCCAGGACCACACTGCTTTACCGTTGGAGTTTGCACATCTTTTTTTTTTTTTTAAATGGTACATTGACTTTGGAAGATAGTTTTGTAGTTTCTTTTTTAAATATATTTTATTGATTTTTTTACAGAGAGGAAGGGAGAGGGAAAGAGAAGTAGAAATATCGATGAGAGAGAAACATCGATCAGCCGCCTCCTCCACACCTCCTACTGGGGATGTGCCCGCAACCAAGGTACATGCCCTTGACCAGAATCGAACTTGGGACCTTTCAGTCTGCAGGCCAATGCTCCATCCACTGAGCCAAATATCTAGTAGAAGCTACTCCTTGTAATGATGCTGCTTTCTACTAACATGTCCCCAGTTCATGAGGAAAAATGTTTCTCCTGTTATATTTCAGGAAGAGATATGGGGTTTGCCGTGTAGGCCTACACCTCACAGCTTGAACAGTACACAGGCCTGCCCGAGGTGGGGCTGATGAGGGGCTGAAGGCCCGCGGTGGGGCTACACCTGGTCTAGGGTATAGCGATCTGCAAAAAATAACCACCTGACCCCAGCCTCAGTGATGAAGGACTGAGCCACCACCATGAAGGAAGTCCAGTCCCAAAAGTGGGCTGTCCCAGGCCAGTGTGAGACCGACCGTTGGCCAGAGCAGCATCTCTGGGAATGAATCCTGAAGACCCCGACAAACTGGGCGGCTGAAACAACAGGGATTGATCCTGTCATAGTTTGAGACTAGAAGCCTGACAACAAGGTGTGGGCAGGATCCTGCTCTCTCTGAGGGCTCTAGGGGAGGGTACTTCCTTGCCTCGCCCTAAACTGGCTGCTGGAAATCCTGGCATTCTCTGGCATCACCTGGCTTAGAGATGTATCGCTCAAATCTTTGCCTCTGTCTCCATATGGCTGCCTTCTTCATGAGCACATGTGTACGTCTTTCCTTCTACTTGTTTTTCTTTCTGTCCTTAAAAGGACAGCAGTCATAATGGATTAGGGCCCATCCATATGACCTCATCTTAGCTTGATTACATTTGCAAAGACCCTATATTTTCAAGTAAGGTTACATCCACAGGTACCAGGGATAGGACTTCAACATAGCTTTGGGGGGAAACAATTCAACCCATAACAAACATTGACCAACCTTGTTCACTAAAGTCATCGCATAAACTAGCAGCTCTGTGTCGACCCCGTCTTTTTCCTCCAAGATTTCCATGATATTTGACCAGGGTACAACTCCTGCGAGTAAAGCAAAAATCATTAGGAACAGCAAGTCACTTCCAACTCACTTCAGAGTTTATCTAAAGACTCTTCACCCAAAGATGGCATGTCCTTCAGTCACCGAGTATCAAAGCATGACACAGATTTTGAATTAGGTGACAATATACCACATTATCCTTGTGCACTTGAAAATGTATATTCTTCAGTGTCAGGAGGCCCAACAATTTACTTGAAAGTTCCCATCACATGAATTACGGAACTTTTAAGAATGCATTCACACACAGCTTTTTAGGCCATGCGTTTCACTTGCTGAGTGCAGAAACCCTAATAAGTTCTCTCTGTGCATCAGCATGCTACAGTCTGATCTCCTGCAAGGAAAGGAGATGTGGGAGGTCTTCCCATTCACGTGGGCTCTAAGAACTGACAGTGAAATGCCCATCTAGCAAACATTTCAAGAACAGAAGTATATTATCCCTGTGTAATCAAGCACAAATACGACTTAAGCAGAAACCAAGTAGAAGGAACTGGGTCTAGGAGGAGGCTGCCATCAAGAGTTTTATAATCTAATAGAGCAGTTAGGCCTAAGTACAAGAACACACGTCCACACAGAGTAAAGGCACGCACCTCGGCACTGCCAGGGCCAAGGCCACAAAGGGGATGCATGCCCCTGACCCACTTCCTGTGCCTGAGACAAGCATTTGAAGTGAAGTGTCGCCTTGCCCATGGCGTGGCTGGGTGGAACAGGAAGCTCTTTCCTCTTTCTTTCTACAGACCTCAAATGATAATGCTTATTTTTTGCTGATAAAAGTAAATTCTGAAGTAATCCAAAGCCAGTGGCTTCTAAATGCTTGTTCTTGGATGGGTTGTGTCAGAGCTGAAATGTCTACAGAAAAGTCAATGGAGATCTTTGAGGGCAGGAAGTGGGTTAAGCTGGCGAAGTTGTAAGAGAACCAGAGGGTCAATGCACAGTCAGAAAAAGAGAGAAGACAGGAGAATTTACGAAGGGAACAGGCACTTCCACACTATACAGTGTGGAAGACACAGATATCGTTTGATGTAGATCTCTTGGCTCTCCCAGCAAGTGAACAGAAAGCCCGATCCTTCCGCCAAGTTGCCCAGTTGGTCAGAACCAGACGGGCTTCCATGACCCTTTCTAACTCTGGACACAAAAGCATGATCCTTCAACCATTAACTGCTGAATGATCTTCTTGCTGGTACTTATCATCAAACTATGTTGAAGTCCTCACCTGTTCTTCAAACCCCAGCAAAGTAACCATTTCTGCCCTCGGGACAGCCAATCAATGTGGTTAGCAGGTCTTGGGCCTCACTGTCCGGGTGCAGTGCTTGTGTTCATAACAAAGGCAATTTCTATTATTCACACTCGGCACCCAACCTCAGCAGAAAACACATGTTCTAGTCAGTCATCCACGTATGGTTAAAAGGCAGACTGTGCAGGAGAGAAAGCATTGAAGCTAAGAATTTCCAGTGGTGCTGGTGGGCCCAGAACTGCCTCCTGATTGCACACTTTGAAGCCAAAGATGCCAAACCAAGCCTGGGATGGAAAGGCCAAGAAGCAAAGGCAAGCATCTAGTAGAAAGGGAAGTAGCCAGGTTATACACTCTCTCTCTCTCTCTCGCTCTCTCTCTCTCTCTCTCTCTCTCATAGAGACCAACACAATGGTGCACCATTGTATCCTTTATGATGAAAACACCCAAATACTGTCTTAATTTAATTGAAAAACATGATCTTTAGCTATGATATCTGATTCTCTACTACTATTTAAGGATTTCAAGTTTGGAAACTAGTTGGGATGAATGTTCATTCTGCTTTGTTTGGGAACCAGAAAATAGGAACTATTTAGAAGAATGAAGGTAAAGGGGAGGAAACATTTTGGTTCCACACAGCAGCCTTGGCCGGGCTCAAGCTGGCCTATGTTAAGCACCGGCCGCTACGACGTGCCCAGGAGCTGCCACCTGCCGGAACTAAGTGGCCCAGTTCACCCAGCACTACAGTGATTATGTGTGGGGGTGTGGGGTGGGGAGGAGTAGGGAGTGGGGGTCCTGTTTTAGAGTCATAAATCATATCATCTGACTTCTTCACATAACAGAGAAAGAAACAGAGCCCCAGAGTTGTGGAATGTACGGTGGCTCAGCAAATGCATCTAAATTGGAGTGATGGTATCAACCTCATAGGATTGCTGGGAGGTCTCATGGAGATAAAGCCCTTGGCCTTTTTGCCTTAGCACTGACCAAGCACATGAGAAGGCAATAAGTTACTTAACCATGATCAGCTGTCTCTCTCCAACTCCACCCCCAACCCCTGGAGTGAGTGTAGGCTCAACAAGAGCCTGTTTATTTATCTGCTGTTTCAAGCACATAGTTGGTATTTAAACATTTGTCAAACAAATTAGTTTTATATAAAAATTTCTTAGCATAGAGCCTGTTACATGGTAGGCACTAGAATATCAGTAGCTATAATTGTAATGGTGGCTGGGGGTGTGCTGACACTCCCAGAGGACAGGCTCCTAGGCCAGTACTCTCTTAACCCAGAATAAATAACTGTTCAATACTTTCCCCCTTTTATTTTCCTCCTAGATCTCCGAATTAAACCCCAAAGAAAGTAAGATATTTAGCACAATGCCTTGTACACGAGTTGGTCTCATACCCAAACAGAAGGTCCTCATGGTATGTTCCACGTCTTTCAACACAATTGATGAACACACTTAACACACATACTTCGGCTATAAATAATAATGGGAATAGGGCTGGTGTTCTGTCATCCCCTAAAACCCACTATGCTTTGTGCATTCTTCGCAGATCCATACATCCTGAGCAGAAATCAGAGACAGGAGAGCTTGAAAGGATGGTGGGACAGTTTCCCCTGTTAATCATGTGTGCTACACATGCTGGAGAATTAGGTCATATCTCATCACCTCCCATGCAAATGAAAAATGGAGCTTCTTCAAAAGCAGCGCTGAACCGAATTGGTGCTGACTCATCATTTACGATGGAAATTTCAAAAGGGGTTACCCAGTCTGGTCACTTGCCCCACCCTCTGTCTGAGGGGCAAACCCATATAGTCAAAGGGAAGGACACCCTTCCCAGGGCTGCAGAGGGTTCGCAACCAGTTTCCTGTCCATCGCCAGGGGGAATTCTCAAGGAAAGGAGGCAGATGACAAAGCAAGGCCCTCTCATGGGCTTCCGGAAGAATCACTGCCTCTCTATCTTTCTGCCAGGCTCTGAGAAGGTGAGTTGGAGATCCAAGCCAAAGAGAAGATGACCCAGCAGTCTGAGCAGATGGGTGTGTCTGCTTTAAAAACATCTTATTCTTTCCTTTCCTTTCTTTCTTTCTTTCTTTCTTTCTTTCTTTCTTTCTTTCTTTCTTTCTTTCCTTTTCTTTTCTTTTCTTTTTTTTTACAAGTTGGGAAAAGATGGTCATCACTTTGTCTTGGGGGAAAAACTGAGTAGAGCTCAGAGCCTCCTTGTCGTGCCCCAGAGACTACCTCGAATCCACCTTTTCATCCCAGCCCCGGAGCAAAAGTGCCAATTGTCTGGATCAAACGGGGCATTTTAGATTTTCATTTATTCATAAATATTGATCAGTCCCCATGATGGACTTAGACTCCTCAGCTTTTATGCCAGCTCCCTAACTGGCCCACTCCTGGCCAAAGGGCAAACTATCCACGCACACATAATGAACCCTCTGGTTAACCCAGGCATGATGTGTGTAAAGCAACCAGGGGGATTTATCCTAAGAGAACTTCATTGGCTTCTGGTGGTAGTAATTTTTGAGAACTCCTAGCTTATTTGCTGATTCTTTAAATCTGAGAGTTTTTATCATCCAAAAGAATTCCTTTCTATTCAAGCAAACCCAGTCTATATTTTAATATACCCATTCTCCACCCCATCTCCCCAGAGGAATGTGTCTAACGCCACCTGAGGAGGAAAATTTATGGCTTAAGCTTGTGCACAGTGGACATGCTTGGCTGGCCCTCATCACCTCTGGCACCTCTGCTCTCACTGGCCGAGGAGGAAGTGGAGAGCTGCTTCCACACCTACTGGTGGAAACACACCTGGGAGTCAGGGGCTCTCTGCAAACACCATGATATATGTATATGTTTAATTCCACCACCGGGTTCAGGAACACTGACCAGCAGTAAAATAGGATGATGTTATATGCGTGCATTACGGCCAAGACCACACATGTCCATAGAGGAATGTGCTATTGAACCACATGTGATAAACTACATGTCTCAATTTGTTCCACTGGTGATATTCCTTCTTTTCTTCCAGCTGCTAGTGGTCAGGAGCAGACAGATGACAGTAGTTGCCCAAAACTTAAGAAATTTTACAGGCAAAAAACCATGAAGTAAACAATCCGTTAACTTGTTTAATTTTTTTCCCTTTGTTTTTTACTTTTTTTACAAGTTGGGAAAAGATGGCCATCATTTTGTCAAGGGGGAGAGACTGAGTACAACTCTGAGCCTCTGGCTGAGCCAGTGGATGGAGTCTTGAATGGGACGTCATGCTCTGGGCTCATCTCAGGACCATTCCTCTACCCCATGACACACCTTCACGAAATGTGAGGCTCAAGGAAGGAAACAGCTCCCAACTCAATGAAGTCAAAGCACAACCCCAAGGTCATGAGAAGACTGGCCCCTCTAACACAACCCCCATGACAAGGGCCCATGGGTTACCCAGAATTTAGGACAGGAAGCTGAAGAGTCCATTCATCATTCTAAAGTAATCCCCAGAGTTGGGCGTCAAGCATGACTCCTCTAAGCATGAATGAAAGGATCTGCCTCGCTATCTTCCCAGACATCCACCTCTGGCCCTAATTCTCATTCACTGGCCTTGGGAAACCTCCCTCCTTGTCCCCTGCTTCTGAGTCACTGGCAGTCTTTGTTGAGGATTCTTAGCTGGCCTCATGATCTACTATTGGCCATAAGGAATTTCAAATCTGGTACCAGATGACAACATGCTGTGGTAGAAAGAAACACACAGACCTGTGCTGG